GAAGTTAACATAACCAGTATGGGAACAAGTCAAATCGCGTTCCCCCTGATGCATGAGAACACAACATCACTCCTGTGATATTTCTGCCAAAAATACACAGCCTGAATCTAATCATGAGGAATCATCATACAAATCAAATTGTGGGGCATTCAACAAAATAATTGTCCTATAATATTCTAAAGTGTCAAGTTCATGAAAGTAAAGGAAAGACTGGGAAACTTCCAGACTGAAGGAAACATAAGAGACATGACAATAAATGAAAAGTGTGACTCTGGAATGGATCCCTTTGCTAAAAGGGCTTTATAGAATGGGGTCTGAGATTAGACAGTGGTTTTATATATATATATATATATATATATATATATATATATATATATATATATGTTATTTTCCTGATTTTGATGGTTGTATTGTTGTTATGCAGCAGTAGGCATGCCCTTGTCTGTTGAAAATATATCCCTCATGATTTTCTCTTTTGAATTTAGGATCTGTGTATTGAGGCTTTTATAGACGATGGTTTTAAAGATAGACATGCAAATGACTAAAAGGTCTGAGCTGGCAGGAGAGCAAATCCATAATGCAAGGCCAATGTAGAGCAAAACCACTTTATTGCATGCGCCTGGGTGCAGGTGAGCTGAGCCCAAAAAGGGGTCAGCCTCAAATAACAATTGGGGTGTAGGTTATATACTCTGCTTCTGTCTTCGGACAGTTCCTCCTGACGTGCTCTGTCTGGCCACTTTGCAGTCGGACGGTCTGGTATCACATCCTGCATCTGCTGGGTGATTCTTTGTCTTTGCAGATAATCCACGTAATCAACAGAAGACTAAGCAAAGGTCACGCAAGCAACCCATTTTTTCACAGTTTCCACCTTTTGTAAGCATTTGCCTTTACCCTTTAAAACGTTATTAACCCTTTCAATAACCTTTGGCCAGCAATCAGAAAACCTAGGCATAAGGCTGTTCTGGAACTTTCCAACTGTGTGAACTTGGGCAAATCAGTTAACCCCTCTGACCCTCAGGCTCCTCATCTCTAATTCTAGGTAGTTTTGATGCTAAATATTTGCAAATGGTATGCAGTGATATTTTAGGGGGTCTATAAATGTTTTGATAATATTCAGTTAAAATTAAGATTTCTATTTTAAACTTAAGAGTTTGGAACTTTTTTTTATTTTTTATTTATTTATTTTTTTTAATCCTCACCCGAGGACATTTTTCCATTTTTTATACAGATAGAGTGGGAGGGGGGGAGAGAGAGAGAGAGAGAGAGAGAGAGAGAAACATCAACGTGAAAGGGACACATCGAGTGGCTGCCACCCGCACGACCAACCAGGGCCGGGGACAAACTGCAACTGAGGTACATGCCCTTAGCGGGAACCGAACCCGGGTCTCTCTGGACTGCAGGCTGATGCTCTAACCGCTGAGCAAAACTGGCCAGGGCTGGAAATTTTTTTTAAATGAGACTGAAAACATCTATTGTGATGTTAAGAATTATTACAGGAAGAGTTCACTACATAAGACATTTACTGATGTCTCGCGACCTAACTTGGAGCATGTGTAACTAAATTGCTGCATATCAGGGGATTCTATGCATCTTAAGGAGGGGACTCTGCTTTTATACAAATAAAACTCATGTTTAATTCCGCTAAAGTTTAAAAGGTTTCATGTAAAAAAAAAAACATTGGTAAATTCATATTCCCACTATTGACAGAGGTGAATAGTGGAAGAAATTTACTTATTCATATCTGTAAGTATTGTGGAAGAAGAAAGTAAAAATGAGGGAAAAGAAATATCATTTATATAATCCAATTAACCATAATCTAGAATTTGAAGCACATCATTGGTACTTGCCACACTCAAAGTATCCTGATTGATCCTAAATCAAGTTATATTTTAATGCCATTGGAGAAATAACTGCAAATTCTTAAGATTCTTTAATTTTATGTGCTAAAATATGCATTTTTCATGTATCAAGTTTTCTTTTTTTTTTTGTATTCCTCACCTGATAATAAGTAGAAAAATATCCTCAAATGAGGAAAGAACAAAGAAAACCTTTTTTTCTGATGAGGTGCTCCACAAATGCACAGTTTCCAAATGAGCTGGCCAGGGAAGAAAATCTATTTTAGTAACAAAAAACTAACAAAAAACTTGCATTGAAGGTAGAGCAGCACTTTGACATGGATTTTGTGATGTGTTGATAAGAGAAATACCACCTGAAATTCCGATCAAAATATGTTGGGAATCATTTCCCAAAAAATAACCTTCTCTTGAAAAGGTTAGTTTTTTTTGAAACACTTAATGTAGAAACAATACTGAATAGATTGCAACTGCACAAAACAAAAGGACGGACATATTTAATATCCAGCCTAAAATATTTATCTTGTTCATTGTGGAAAATGCCTACTAAACCAGTTGAGAGGGGTGTTGTTTCATTCTAGTGGAGAAAATAAAACTTAAATTCACCTTTCTTTAGAAATTTCCAGGTCCTAAGAAGAACAAATAAATTAGCTTCATCACCTCTAATGTAGTTATCTGAACTTTCAAATACTGTTCCCTCATTAAAATTCAGAGACAGCCGGGCCAGTATGGCTCGGTTGGTTGAGCATCCACCCATGCACCAAGAGGTCCCGGTTTGATTCCAATCAGGGCCCAGGCCCAGGTTGCCCGCTCGATCCTCAGTGGGGGGCATGCAGGAGGCAGCCAATCGATGTTCTCTCTCATCGATGTTTCTATCTCCCTCTCTCTCTCTAAAAAATTCAATGAAAACATTTAAAGCCCTGGCGGTTTGCCTCAGTGGTTAGAGCGTCAGCCTGTGGTCCAGAGTGACCTGGGTTCGGTTCCGGCTAAGGGCATGTGCCTCGGTTGCAGTTTGTCCCCAGCCCTAGTTGGGTCGTGTGGGTGGCAGCCACTTGACGTGTCTCTTTCACATCGGTGTTTCTCTCTCTCTCTCTCTCTCTCTCTCTCTCTCTCTCTCCCTCCCTCCCACTCTCTCTGAACAAAAAATGGGAGAATATCCTCGGGTGAGGATAAAAACAAAAAAAAACATTAAAAAAATTTAGAGACAGTCACGCAATGAGGGAAAAGAGTGCTATTTCAGAAAGTTCCCCACCCCTCCCTGACAAAGACAAAGACAAAGGGGAGGGTGAAAATACCCTCTGATTACTGTTGTGTTTAATGGTATCAGCACCAGATGTTGACTTAGGAGGAAAGAGACGCACTGAGAAAGGAACCGGGCTTGGATTGTACCACTGTAACTGGCATTGTCTCAGCCATGTCTAAGAACAGCACAGTTAAGCCACTGCATTCCACAGTTTTAACTTTGGCTTTGACAGCGAACTCCAAATCAATGATACAACAGATAGAAAAATCAGGTCAGTCTTTCCTACTTATCAGGAAGGATACAATTCTAATTCTAGGAGAATAACCTCCCTTTTAAGGGGTAGGGTGGGGCATGTGAGTTAAATGGCAATTCATACATTTTAATTTTGAGATTGGTGGTACCAAATTAGCAAGCTTAGTAAAGAGGCTTGTGAGGGAGTGAATCATCTCACAGAATAACTTTTGGCCTCATTTTGAGATTTCATTGTTTGATTTTGGAGCTATTCTATTGACTTTGGATTTGTCAGGGTCTTGGCATCCACTCCAGATGGGGCAGCCAGGGCTGAATTAGGTTTCAAGTCATATGTATCCCAAACAACAAAAGGAGTAAGTTGGAAATGCATTATAAGTTTTCTGGAAGGGAGTTTCTCAATATAGGAAATGACCTCAATCAATTGAATTGCCTTCATGCTTCTGTCTTGTGTCTTGCCTATTTCTTACTAAAAACAGCAGGAAAAAATTAACATCAGTACTTAATGTTACAATGCAATTCCATTGTAGTTATATATATATTGATTTCAGAGCGGAATGGAGAGGGAGAGAAAGAAACATTAATGAGAGAAACATCAATCAGCTGCCTCCTGTACACCCCCAGTGAGGATCGAGCCCACAACCTGGGCATGTGCTCTGACGAGGAATCGAACCTGCCACCTCCTGGTGCATGGGACGATGCTCAACCACTGAGCCACACTGACCAAGGCTACATTTCTATTTTTTACTTCTATATAAATACTACATTAGATGTAAAAGTTCTTTAAAAGATATTTTAAAGTCTGTCTACCTACTCTTAAGCCTTCCTTTAAAATAAAATCCACAGTAATATTAATAAATAGGGGCCAAGTAAATGCAGACTATGCAGAACAGAGAGTTTGGATTTTTTAAAAGTCTAGTGAAGTTTGAAAACTTTTCAAAACAACTATACAATTCCCTTAACACCTGCCTTGGCAAAATTCTAATTCTGTTTGAAAAGGTTGCTTTTGAAAAAATGTTATCTTTGGAGAACACCTAAGTGGGTGTGGGATAGGGAGAGTTCGTATCCAAATATCTTCATAAAGCAAGTTCTTAAAATTTGCAAAGCTCTTGGCCACTGAACACGCTGCCCTTCGCATAACATGCCTTTAAGCATGCTAGGAAGCCAAGAGAATGGAATAAGGTGGCAAGAAGGAATGGAAGAGTGAAGACAATGGAGGTAGGTCCATGTGGAATATTTTTTAAACCCCCCTCCTCTTTTCCTGTAATAGTTCAGAAAACTCAGCCGCTATCATCTTGAAGAAAAATATCCCGCTGGAAAAGGCAAATGATCAGAAATAGAAGGATACAGGGGACTACAAGAAGATGGCCAGAGAAGATTGTTGGGAAAGGAGGCCAAGGGAGGAAAAACTATAAATGAATAAACCAGGCCTCTGTTGCCCTGGCCGGTTTGGCTCAGTGGTTAGAGCGTCGGCCCACAGACCAGAGCCGCGGGTTTGATTGCGGTCAAGGGCACGTACCTCGGTTTCGGTTCAGTCGCCGGCCCTGGTTGGGGAGCTGCGGAAGGCAGCCAGTCAATGTGTCTCTCTCCCTCCCTCTCTCCCTCCCATTCTGTCTGAAAATAAATGAAAAAATATCCTCAGGTGAGGATTAAAAAAAACCAAACAAACCCAGGCCTCTGCTATATGGATCTTCTTTCTTAAAGGGTTAGAAGTAATTGTGATTTATATATAGGACTGAAGTGATATGGAACTGGGTTGTTTATCATTGACTAGGCTTTATTCCCTTTAAGATTTTGATGAGGAAATCTCACACAAGGTAAAATTTGCTTCTTTACTCATGCATGTGAGAGGTCAACCTTACTCAATCTGTATTAAGGGCTAGATGTAGAATTTGAAAGGTTATTCATTTAACTGACCCTTTCCCAATGAGCCTTATTTACTTACACTCAAATCTTGAAAATTATCTGGAGGGCTCACAATCCTGGTAGTCAACCAGGAAGGATCAAGGGGTGGGGGTGCGGGGAGCGTCCATTTAAGGCTACTCTCTAATTACTTTTGGATTGAGGATGACCTGGGTTTAGGTCACGGTGCCAAAGCTCTGCACCCTAGAAACGAGAACTGGATTTATCCTCTCTTCATAAAGTAACTTCAACTGCCCAACTCAAGTCACGCGAAGTATACAGAGCCGAAATCAGATAGCCACCTGAACACCGAAGGTGCTTTTGTCGATATCCATCTTCAAAGCAGTTCACGGTCAAGCTGCAGTGACTAATGCAACAGGCCAGCTTTGCCTGTGGAACATTATCCTAAATGTTTAGCGGAAAGAGACAGGAAGCGGCCCATGAAGAAAGCTGTGTGGGCTCAAGCAGTGTCCCCGGAATAGAAGGTGGCAGAGCACGTGGTAGTAATTATACTCTTCAAATAATAACACACACACACATGTGAGTAGGTAGAATTGGTTAATGTAAGAAAGAGAAGAGGAAATTCATAGAGTTTGTAATGGGCCCAAAGTATTGGAATAGAGATAAGGATACACTGAAACTTCGGTACACACAGACACACGCTCACATGTACACATGGTTTTTCAGTTTAGTTTCTTAAACATTTTTCTCTCCTGACTCCACAGCAGCACATGGGTTACAGGGGTCTAGTAGATCCAGCTATGGAATTCTATGCTACTCAGAAAATATATGGCTAGCAAGACAGCATCCCTGTTTTCTCCTGCATGGTTTATGCATCCATGAACAAACAGATGTCAGATACCAATGATCATGACGAGAAATGATATAGGAGATGTTCACAGACTTGATTCTAAACCTAATCCTAACATTATAGGGTGGTTTTCATCACCTTCAGACACACCCTCACGCATCCCAAACCGTCCCGTTCAGCTGCATCATAGAGTCTGACATGGAAATACGTCCGGGAGGTTTCACTGAAAGCAGCGGCTGGCGGCCATGAGAGTCTGGGCACCAGTCTTTTGAGACTGTCTCTATGAAGAAGGCCCTTCCACTGTCAGGCGTGCTGGAAAGTCATTCAGAGAAGGCGGTGACTAGTCAGAGCTGGAGGAAGCCACTGTCCTCTCACTGAAGCGTTTTAAACGGCATTCAAGTGGATGTCTCCGTGGGGTATTTCTGTTGTTGTTTCTGGACTGATACCTTTCATAATACGCTGTTGGGAAGAAAACAGAATGTCATAAACATTCTTGTAATTTAACAGTATTGGAAAAGCATTTCAACATTAATATGACAACAAAGTTTAAATAGCATTTTAGTGGCATTTAATAGTAAGTTGGAATGGTCTCACTGACTCGCCTTAAGAAAGGAATGTCCAATTTATTCATTCTCAAGTGTAAATTAAAATAGACTTTTCGGGAACTATAAGCATCTGTAAACTACTTATGAAAGTCATTATATCACTAAAGGGAGAAAATGATGAGACTTCAATAGAACCTGTGCTGGCCTAGAACATGCCTCTGACGACCTGGGAAAACACATCGTTTTCTCGGGAAGGAGGAGGTTTCACGTGGGCACAGCACACCGCGCCCACAGTCAGGATGTTACTGATTTAATGACCTCACCTGTAAAGGCATACTGGTCAGTTCATACAAGGGTGCAAATCATCACATAATTACTTTTAAAAAGATGTGACCATTGAAATCACTCCTACAGCAATCCCATGCTGACGTGGTACTCATCACAGGGAAAAGGCTGAGACTTTTCTTTTTTAAACAATTAGAGCTCCTTTGGGATATCTTTTTTTTTTTTTTCAATTGATTTTAGAGAGAGACAGAAATATCAATGAGAGAGAACATCGATTGGCCGCCTCCTGCGTGCCCCCCACTGGGGATCGGGCCCACAACCTGGGCATGTGCCCTGACCGGGAATCGAACTGGTGACCTCTTGGTGTGTGGGTCGATGCTCAACCACTGAGCCACCCCGGCCAGGAAAGGCTGAGACTTTTAACATTATAAACAGCTGAGGTACACAGAAGCTTCAAGACAGATCTGAAATATGCTTGGGCTTGTGTATGAAATATATAGCCCGCCTTGTAAAAGCATCAGGGTGACATGAAGCAGCTCAGGGATGCGGAGAAGGAAAAATAGCAGCACTGCCGGGGCAGAGAAGAATCTTTATTAAGATGCTTAGTAAAGTCGTTGATGGCAAAACTGGATCTGAAAGCCTCTTGATTTATGGATTTTAGGGGAAGCTCTAGTAGGTGTCCTTTTTATGTTGGATTTAAAAAGTACATAGTCCCCTTCAATGTTTTTTTATGTCCTGGTTCTGGGAGTTTGTTGTTCTTTAAGAAGCAGGGCCTATAGAATTGAAACAGTTCCATTCTTGCCCGGCCAGTGTGGCTCGGGGCACAGGACTGGGTTGCGGGCTCCATCCCCAGCAGGGGGCGTGCAGGAGTCAGCCGATCGATGTTTCTCACATCGATGTTTCTCTCCCTCTCCTCCTTCCTCACTCTCTAAAAAAATCAATAAAAACATATTTTTTTAAAGTTCCATTCTCATAGTTAATGAAATTCACAAAATTGTACATGTTGTATTCCTCATGGCCTTAATATTCAAATACTGAACTCTCACACTGGAAACCCATCAAAAAGGAGTTGCTGCAGTGCCCGTCGGCTACTTGGACATGTGAAGTCATAGAAAGCAAAATTTCACAAACCATCCTTCCCCACAGGTGAATATGTAAGCTGATTAACAGAAGTATGTAAGCTGATTCAATGGAATATGTAACTTGATTGCGCAGAAGTAAACTTGCTAATTGGGAACTAGACACACAGATCACTCTAACTAACCAGCCGTAAGTGTCACACAGAAAGAGCGGAAAGCACTAAGGTGTATGGCAAGGAGGAGCCACAGTGTAGAGCAGAACATCTGGCTTCTGTGCCCTGGCCCCCACCCACCGGTTCTGCTGCCCTTCTGGCTGCTGATTCCCCCCAAATGCCAGGCCCACCCTCCTTTTCTTACTTTGTCAGCATTTCAGTTGCCAGACTACTATTGCTCTCAAAATTTTCCAGCCCCGGCCTTCTGCAAGGTGGTAATCTTAAGAAACGGATCACTGTGGGACACTTACTTATTAGGGACCAGTGTCTTCGTGCAAAATACTAAGGGCTCCTGTGAGTGGCCTAATCGAGTTGATGACCAACCTGGAGATTTCCAGGCTGCAAATCCCAGGTGAGCGAATGGGGGCTCACTCCACAGACTCCAACTTCGTGCATGGCCAGGGCCCAAAAGAGTTAAGAAACTTACCTTCCTCTTAGTCTTTATTTTTTTGACCATATCAAAATTTTACATGAAGCCTCCCTCCCTCATAGATAGAATGTTACAGATCATCAAGTATGGTATTCACAAAAAATTATAGACCCTTGGTATTCTTGGCAAAAAAAACCATGGCATGCTTTATCCCTCTCAGAGTTAAGCACACACAAGGGTGTGTTACAGCTTTTGAGAAGTCCTGCAGTAAAGGAACCTATTTAATTTGCCTTGATCCAGCATTCTCCAAAATTTTTTTTTATTCCTCACCTGAAGATATTTCTCTATCATCAGATGGAGTGGGAGGGAGGGAGAGAGAGAGATACAGAGAGAAACATTGATGTGATAGAGCTACATTGACTGGTTGTCTCCCGCATGACCCCAACCAGGGCGGGGATGAATCGCAACCAAGGTCCGTGCCCTTGACCAGAATCGAAGATGCAACTCATTGATCTGAGGGCCAACACTCTAACAGCTGAGCCAAACCAGCCAGGGCTCTCTAAAACTTTTTGGCCACATAACCTTTTCCCTCAGCAGTAACTTCTATTGATACCCCATGGAACTATTTCTCCTGAAAATATATTAACATTTGGGAAATGTTAATCCAGTCCAATGCACATTTTAAAGATGAAAAACAAGCCCGGCTGGTGTGGCTCAGTGGATTAAGCATCATCCCGTGGACTGACAGGTCCTGGTCCAATTCCTTGTCAGGGCACATGCTCAGGTTGCCGGTTCAATCTCCAGTAGGGGGCGTGCAGGAGGCAGCCAATCGATGTTTCTTACCTTGACATATCTATCTCTCCCTTCCTCTCTTTTTAGAAAAATCAATAAAACCATATTTAAAGACGAAAAAGTAAGGCCCAGAGAAGGTGAACAACTTGCCTTAGCTGACTCTTTTCCCTCCTAGTCCTTGACTGGCTGTATCATGATGCGTCCTGGTAACCCACTGTTCCCTCCCTGGTGGCCTGTGGTCAAGAAGGCCCTACAATCAGCCTTACCTCTATTACTAACAGATCTGAGCTCTGTTCATTATATACCTTTGGGTGGCGTTTGCTTGTGGCCAACAGGGGGAGTTTACAAGAAAGCTGACCAAGATTTGAGGTGCAGTCTGTGACCAAAGAATACTGACATTTATTAACCTGAGTTCCCACCCCTGACCTTGGCCTCTGGGTTTGAGTCAATAGAGCCAGTGGACCCACGTGACTGCCATAAAGGACAACCTGAAGAAACAAAGTCAATGATTCTAGGTCTGAGCGTGTTTCAAGCAACACCAGAGTTCAAGGCCCTGTGACAGGAATGAGGCGGGGACAGGTCTGGTTTGGATGCAGGAAATCAGTAACTCCGTGCAGAGCTCTGTTCACCCAGAATTCAGTTTTCCTGTTTGGAAAAGGGAATGAACTCCATTCTCAGGAAGAGCTGATGTTTCATTGCCTCATTCTCTTGCTTCCTGTTCCTTATAACACGTTTTAGGGAGATGAGTGTGTGGGTCTCACGTTTGAGTTTTGCTTCTCAAAGCCCAGAGACAAGCCCACCTCGTTCTCTGCTCATTAGCGTCCCGTCCCGGCTAGCTTTCCCCAGATCCCACTCTTCCCCTTTGAGCTTATTGCCTGCAAAAGCGCCCACCCACGGACTTATAAGTGACCGGAACTACTAGTTCTAGCAACATGGGATGAAAAAATGGCAACTCACCTCTCCCTAACCTCTAGCAGCAATTTCTACATCAGCAAACGATTAATGGCAAACGGAGGACAAAACAGAAACGGCCCTGCCCTGAGTGAAAGGAGTCAGGAGACCTGGATTCCGAGCCTCCCTGGACTGTGTGTCCTTGGACAGGTCACTGAAATACACACATTTTGAGCAGCATTATTCCTAGCCTGTGTCTGTCTGCTAATAATATCCGCCCGTCCACCTGACAGGGTATTTTGATAACAAAGTGGGATAATCTACCTGAAGATTTTTTTTTTTTTTAAATATACAATTTTGTACAAATTGTAAGGTTCTGTTGTTAAATTTTGTACAGCCCACTAGTCCTTACTCAAATGAGTCTCGCTAAAAGGGCAACTTTTTTGTTGTTTGTGTTGCTCCAGGGGCTTGAGCTAAAACTATGATATTATTATAATATCCTTATTTAGTGATGATTTTCAAAATAGCCCTTGTTACACTGTTGTTAGAACAATGACCATGGTCCTGGCCGGTTTGGCTCAGTGGTTACAGTGTCAGCCTGCAGACCAATGAGTCTTGGGTTCGAGTCTGATCAAGGGCATGTACCTCAGTTGCGGTTCATCCCTGGCCCTGGTCAGGTTGTGTGGGAGGCAACCAGTCGATGTGGCTCTATCACATCAATGTTTCTCTCTCTCTCTCTCCCCCCCTTCCTCCCTCCCACTCTATCTGATGATAAATGGAAAAATATCCTCGGGTGAATATTTAAAAAAAGGGAAGAAAAATAACCATGGACATTTTCCACCATAATCTCCACTTAAAAATGTATCACCCCAGACACCACTGATTTGATGTCCGTGCCAATGGCAAGCAAGAGGTAAAGTAGTTACTGGTAAGTTTGGGACGCGACACACACCCCACGCCGTGCACTATGGCGCTCCCAAATGACCAGCTCCCTCCTTCGCTCTTTAGTTGAGAATGATGGGAAATGCCTTAGGATGACCGTGGCAGCCATGAGAGGTCAACATGGTGTACGTTACATAAATATATAAGGTGAATTTCATGTGGTGGACGTAGCTCCTTTGAATAGAACTTAACATGAGAACCCTTTTCTCCCCAAACAATTACCAGTCTGAACACACACACACACGCACACACACACACGCACACACCTCCTTCAGTGTCCCCGGAGTGACGATCAGCCGGTAGGTTATGTATGTGGGGACGCAGAGGAAAGACGAAGTGCCTATGCAGTAACCCAGGACGATGCTCCAGTGAGGATAGGTGTACTGGAAAAGTCGCAGCTGTGGCGGGCTCATCAGAAAACTGCAAATGATGAACTAAAACAGAAATGCCAAGGAACATTTAAAAATCATAACGATATCTGTGCAGCTACAGTTCTGATATCATGAACACCGAATGTAAAGCTAAGATGCTGTCAGGGAATTCCCAAAATGTGCTCTATGTTAGACTGAACTCCGACACACAAAAGGCACTGATGTCTGTGCCTACTTTTCTGCAAAAATAAAACAGCCAGGTGCTCACCTTGCTTTTCCTCCCCACCCCCCACCTCAGCCTCTACATGGGGATGCAGAGACCTCAGTGTTATCAAGGGAGTGACAATACCCTCTTCAGGGCAAAGGGGGAGAGAACGGCATCCCCCAGAAGTGGTTTGTGCCTCTCTTAACAGACCGGAGGAGTAAGCTGGGTGACCTCTCCCCGGCCCGGCCAGTCCTAGGGCTTCCTAGTTCTCTCTGCTTTGCTGGCATTTCCTCCTGCATTCCTCAGCCGCGGTTGTTTTTGGTCTGATGGGAGGTACCTATGTCCAGGGGATATAATAAGGTTCTCAAAACCTGAGGAGGACTCGGGCTCCTGGGTCTGGGCACCTTCTCTCCCCTTTCCCTGAGCTCCCTGCTTAGCCTGGGGTTCAACAAGGCTGGCTGTGCCCGGAGGCTGGCTGGCTGCCGCAGGCCCTCGAAATGAAGGGGATAATGGAAAGAAAAAGCAGCTGATACACTTGTCACTTGAAAATTCAGTAAAAATGGTGACCAAGAAAAATTCCACGATGCGCTCCCAACACTCGGTTCATGAGCTTTCTTATTTCAGTTCAGTTTCCGGAGAGAGGGCGAGTATCGGTTTGTGCCTAGTAACCACTGTGCTGAAATACTTATTGCTCTTGATTTAATTTTATTTTATTTCGTGGTCATAAAGAAGACAGTAATGTAAATTATTTGTGTGGTTAAACATCTATTTATATCTTTTTTTCTTTGTCTGCAGGTAATAAAACGGGAAATTGTTAAACACGCATCCATCTTCTGAACAGTGTTGTCCTCGGCTCAGGAGGAGGCTTTCAAAACAGGAGCCCGGCCAGTCACAGACCTTTCTCTGGGCTCGCTCTCCTCACTCCAGACTTGGCAACTAAGGAAGATAGTTTAGGGACAGGGGAAGGGGAGGGGTCTGGTTAGGAGCCATCCCGGCTGTGACCGTCTAGTCTTGATGTCAGGTGTGAGATCCCAGCAGCTCAGGGAGGCCTCAAGCCCTGCGGTGGCCAGTACGCCTGGCTTCGGACACCCCTTTGCACATCCCAGCCTCTCCTTGCTCATACATAATATTTTCTTTTTTTATAACTTGGCTCCAGTGACAAAGACTATTTTTAGTAAGCTACTCATTGTTTACCTAAAGCAGCCTTCAAAAGCCCAGAGCAGGGGATCTGTTAAGTAAACCCAGAAGTGGGAGACAGACTTGCCTCCTCTTTGCCGCCCCGCAGCCCTCGCCTTTAGAGGACATGAGTCAAGCGAACATCACAGGAATCACGAGTAATGTGCCTGAACCCAGATCTGTGCGGAGGCTTTGCTGGACACCAGAACTCACAGACAGCACCCCAAGTGTTCACAGTCTGCTGGACAACCAGCAGTGCGCAGAAATGAAAACAGTGAAAGGCTGGGGCCAGGATTAGGGCCAGACGTGGGCACGCACCTTGGGCACATTAAGGGGTGCCAAAAGTTCAGGAATCAAGACAAATAATATCTGAGTACAATATGTTAAAAAGACAGGACCTGCCCTGTCCGCTTGGGTTCAATGGTTAGAGCATCGGCCTGTGGACCGAAGGGTCTCAGGCTCGATTTCCGGTCAAGGGCACGTACCTGCAGGTTTAGTCCCTAGCCCCAGTCAGGGTTGTGCGGGAGGCAACCAATCGATGGGTCTCTCTCACATGGATGCTTCTCTCTCTCTCTCCCTCCCTCCCACTCTATCTGAAAATCAATGGAAAAAATATCTTCAGGTGAGGATTAACAACAACAAAAAGACAGGATCTGACACAGCCAGATTAGGGTGAGGGGAGTGAGGTAAGTCCTCCCAGTACAGGGTTGGATCCTGTCTCTCTTTAAAATGTTGATATTTTGATACAACACCTAAGGCAACAGACACAAAGGAAAAAATGAACACATGGGACTACATCAAACTAAAAATCTTCTGCACAGCAAAAGAAACAACCATCAAAACGGAAAGGGATCCCCACTATATGGGAGAACATAATGGCCAATGATGCTTCAGATAAGGGGTTAATTTCCAAAATATATAGAGTGCTCATACAACAACAAAAGGAAGACAAAGAACCCAATTAAAAAATGAGCAGAGGACCTAAATAGACACCTCTCCAAAAAAGACATCCAAATGGCCAAGAGATATGAAGAAATGCTCAACATCACTGATCATCAGAGAGATGCAAATTAAAATAATTATGAGGTATCACCTCACACCTGTCAGAATGGCCGCCATCAACAAATCATCAAACAACAAGTGTTGGCGAGGGTGTGGAGAAAAGGGGGACTCTAGTACACTGCTGGTGGGAATGCAGACTGGTGCAGCCACTATGGAAAACACTATGGTGTTACCTCCAAAAGTTAAAAATTGAACTTCCATTTGACCCAGTGATCCTACTTCTAGGAATATACCCTAAGAAGCCTGAAACACCAATCAGAAAGAATATATGTACCCCTATGTTCATAGCAGTACTATTTACAATAGCTAAGATCTAGAAACAACCCAAGTGTCCATTAGTAGATGAGTGGATTAAAAAGCTGTACATGTACACAATGGAATACTATGCAGCTGTAAGAAAGAAAGATCTCTTATCCTTTGAGATGACATGGAAGGACCTGGAGAGCATTATGCTAAGCGAAACAAGCCAAGCAGAGAAAGACAAATATCACACATGATCTCACTTATTTGTGGAATATAATGAACTAAACAAGCTGCTGAACAAAATTAACCCAGAGACATAGAGGTGGGGTACAGACTGACAAGCTGCAGAGGAGGGGGGGTTGGGGGGGGGGCGATAAACCACAGAACTTACATGCATGTATGCATGACCAATTAACATAGACAACAAAGCTGGGGATGGGGGGGTGGGGGGAAGGGAAGGAGGGTGTCAAAGGGGGAAAAGGATGGGGGTCCTTTGGCAATACAGAAACATCTGTAACAAAACAAATTAATAAATAAAAAATAAAAATAAATAAATAAACAAAATGTTGCTATTTTGGGCCGGCCAGTGTGGTTCAGTGGATTGAGCATCATCCCATGAACTGAGAGGTCCAGGTTCGATTCCCCGTTAGGGCACATGCCCAGGTTTCGGGCTCAGTCCCCAGTGCGGGGCATGCAGAAGGCAGCTGGTCGATATTTCTCTCTCTCTCTTCCTCCCTCTCTCTCTAAAAAATCAAGAATAAAAATAAAATGTTGAGATTATGTTCACCAGGGACTTTTATGCATTAATTTCATTTTTAAAAAATTTCATTAAAAGAGCATTTATCTTGATTGTTGAGACTTTTGGCACCCCCTTAAGCTTTATGTCCCTGTCGAGTGCCTCAGTTGCTTTTCCCAAATTTCAGCCCCGACATCATTTCCCCGTGTGGGGAAAGCTAACGCAAACAAACAAACATGACTTCTTCCCTCACGGAACTAATCCAGTGTCTCTCCTTCCCTTGAAAAACAAATGAAAGAATGTAAGTAGATTACAGAGAAGCACTGGTAATAATATAAATTAATAACCCACTGATGCCAGGACTTAGGCTTCTTCTAGTAACAACAGGCGAGGCGATTCAGACCAACCCTCTCACTGAAAACAACCAAAATGTCTGGATTTAAAAATATGTATGTTTTGCCCTGGCCGGTTTGGCTCAGCGGTTAGAGTGTTGGCCTGCGGCCCGGAAAGACCCGGGTTCGGTTCCCGCTAAGGGCATGTACCTCAGTTGCAGTTTGTCCCCGGCCCTGGTTGGTCGCACGGGTGGCAGCCACTCTATGTGTCCCTTTCACGTTGAAGTTTCTCTCTCTCTCTCTTTCCCTCCCACTCTATCTGAACAACAACAAAAAAGAAAAAATGTCCTCGGGTGAGGATAAAAATATATATATGTTTTAAATGTATCTCCAAGTGACAGGGAGTTGGTAAGGTGATAAGGAACTACCGGGCCAGGATCTGGGGGAACGCTGGGGCCCAGAGCACACACCACAGCCACTGGGCACTGAGGTTCTGCTGCTCGGGTGGGCTTTGGTTTTGGAAACCTCCGGGTCCAGGGGAAGGGAAGGAAGTCAAGGAGGGATCCTGGGGAGAGCACAGGCAGCATTGCAAAGGCAAGGTGAGCATATTGTTCATCTCATACACTAATGTGTTGTATAAAAAGCACAAAAAATAAAGGGCTTTCCTGAAAAAGCAAAACAGATCACAAAAAGGGCTGTTTCCAAAGTCAGGGAAGGCACAGCCGTACGCCACGGGCAGAGACGTCCTAAGACGGAATGGATGGCCCAGGCACTCCTAATAAGCTGGAGCTCGATTGAAGGAAGTCTAATAAACTTTTTGGCTCTAAAAGATCAAAAAGCCTTCCTCCCCAAATAAAATTACAGATGAATGAAAGGACAGGACCTCAGACCCTGCTGATGTACACGTGGTCACTTTCTCCCAGGCTACCCCAGAACACACTTGGGATGTTAGTAGGGTGCGTTTCTGTCACCGGGCAAACATCTCCTTCAGACGGGCGCCAGGACACGCAGGGCACATGCAGCGAGGATGCAGTGGCCAGGAGGACACACAGGGCACATGCAGCGAGGATGCAGTGACCACTGAACACATCCTGGCAAGTGGGCAACCTTGAACCTGGACTTTCTCACCCAGGTCCTTTGGCAATACAGAGAGTCTACTTTTGATTCAGGTCATGCTTGAGGACCTTGGTGTGGGGCTTCTTTAAGAAAAGGGACACAGCCCAGCTGGTGTGACTCAGTGGTTGAGCATCGACCCATGTACCAAGAGGTTGCCGGTTCGATTCCCAGTCAGGGCACATGCCCAGGTTGTGGGCCAAAACCCCAGTGGGGGCCTGCAGGAGGCGGCCAATCAATGTTCTCTCTCATCGACGTTTCCACCTCTCTCTCCCTCTCCCTTCCTCTCTCTCTAAAATTAAAAAAAAAAAAAATTTAAGAAAATGGACACAAAGTTACTAGGACCCTGCTGTGAGCCACACAATACATGCTTTCCCGGCCTTGAACAGTTCTTGTCATTTGACTTTGGACAGTTCACTTAACATCTCTAAGCCTCAATTTCCTTAAATGTAAAACAGGGTGTTAGAACAATAGTACTTCACAGAATTACTGTGAGAACTAAAAGAGCAATGGGTGTCGTTATCACTGAGCGGAGGACTGAAGCAGTAAGGTGACTACAGCCCGGAGGACCCCGTGGTGTTAGAAGCCAGCAGAGGGGCGAACCACGGGGGGTGTGTGTGTGTGTGTGCGGGGGGGGCACGGTGACGGGGAGGGGACACAGAGGGGCCTGCAGCGTCTTTTTGTTCCTTGGTGTGGTTTTGGCTACCAACGTGCACTCGGTTACATTCATTGAGATGTAACCTACGATTTGTACCCTTTTCTGTATTCATGTTTCACCTCGACACCGCTTGTCTTTTATAAGTGTGTGAGTGGCTCTTTCCCCAGGGCCAGAAGGGAAAGGATAACTCACCAGGAGAAACAGAGGGCTGACGACCACCCAGCAGACCCTCCAAAACCACCCAGGGCTGAAGCCCAGCATCTCCTTCACATCACTGCAGAACTGGGCGATGCCTAAAATCAGCCGGAAGAGAAAGAGACGGATGGAGTGTGAGGACGTGGACTGCCCGACCCCTCGACTCAGAGAGAGGAGGAGCTCTGCAATTTCTCACGGGGGGAGGGGGGGGAGGCTCGGGGCCCCAACCTGGGCTGAAAGGGGGGCGGGGACTTGACACAGAACTGCATCTCATAGCAAGCAATGCCCTTCTGCACAGAGTGGGAGGACAGGTGGACATTTGGGAAGAGACTAAAGTCCCCTGTTGGTGCCCATGCTGCCTTTCTAAGATCTCAGCACATATTTTATTTTAGTGTTACTGTAGAAAAGAAAGTTAAGCCTGGCCGGTGTGACTCAGTGGTTGAGGGTCGACCCCTGCACCAAGAGGTCACTGGTTCGATTCCCAGTCAGGACACATGCCCAGGCTGTGGGCCCGATCCCCAGTGGGGGGCATGCAGGAGGCGGCCAATCGATGTTCTCTCTCATCGATGTTTCTATGTCCCTCTCCCTCTCCCTTCCTCTCTCTCTAAAATCAATAAAGAAAAAAATATAATAATAAAAAAAAAAGAAGTTAAATTTTATTTAGAAATGATGAAACTGTTAGACGTAGATTGACTGTGGCCATATAACCGAGAAAATTTTAACTACCGAGTGGCCCAGTCACGTGTCAGATCATGATCAAAGTTCTGCTGTGAAAGCGCCTGGCATGGACATGAGCAGTGAGACTCCGCCTGGTGGGAAATGGAGAAGGGGCAGGAAGGTGGCTCCACGGTGGCGTCGCTGAGAGCCCCCAGCAATCCCTTCGGCAGGTCTGTGGTGATTCATACACTTGAACTTTGTTGTCTGAATTGCAGGGCAGGTGGGAGAACTTCTTTGTCAAAAACTGGACTTGGCCCTGACTAGTCTGGCTCAGCGGTTAGAGCGTCAGCTCATGGGCCGAAGGGTCTTGGTTTGATTCTCAGTCAAGGGCACATACCTGGGTTGCAGGTTTGATCCCTGACCCCAGTTGGGGTCATGCGGGAGGGAACCAGTCAATGTGTCTCTCACATCGATGTTTCTCTCTCTCTCCCTCCCTCCCTTCCACTCTATCCAAAAATCAATGGAAAAATATCCTTGGGTGAGAATTAACCAAAAAAACTGGACTTGCCCTGGCTGGTTTGGCTCAGCGGTTAGAGCGTTGGCCTGCAGACCAGAGGGTCAAAGGTTCAATTCCAGGTCGAGGGCATATACCCGGGTTGCAGATTCTCGATACCTGGCACTAGTCAAGGCACATCCAAAAGGCAACTAACTGATGTGTCTCTCTCACATCAATGTTTTTCTCTTTCCCTCCCTCCCACTCTCTCTAAAAAAATCAATGGAAAAATACCCTTGGGTGAGGATTAACAACAAAAATGGACTCACTTGCAACTCAAAATATGGGGCCCCCGTTCTTCATATGCTGCATAATGACAAACATGCTAACACTGTTTTATTATCATAGAAACTAGAAAAATAAATGCATTTTCAGAATGAATTAATCTCGTCTTGATTTTAAAGAGGAAGAGAGGCATCTCCAAACCTGGTTGTCTTCACTTGCATTGCCTGTGCCCTCCCCACCCCCATCCAGGGACGCCTGGGACCCCTGCCACCGGACTGTCAGCTGACTGTCTGTGCTCCTGATGGTCTCATCCTTATCAGATTCCATCCCAGGACCAGAGTGGGTTTTTCCAGGGCAGATAATCCAAACAGGAACATTCTTGCCTCTTCTCTAAAAGATAAACTCCTCAACTCTGCCTCGGGGTTCTGGAGGGAGCTCCTGCTTGCGAAATTTAAACTGAGGAACACTCCAGGTGAGGGTAGGACCCGGTCCACTCTGCGAATGCGTTCACCGTGCACTGGTTCTGTGTGTCCCGTCCCGGCCTTCCAGCCAGCCAGGATCCTGGGCGAGCTGTAGGGAACCGCTTCAGCCTGTCCCCACTGGGCAAACGTTTAAACTCAGAGGGAAAAAGAAACAGCCTCCCAAGGGCATGAGCAGCCTGGTGTAGAGAGTGCGGAGCGATGACCTGTTTCTGGAGAAGGCACAGCTGAGCTCATCGTCCAGACCCGCCAGGAAGTGACATCTTGCACACTGCCCTGCCCTCTTGTGAAATCGGCCCTTCTCTGTGCTGGTGGCTTCCAGCGGACCTCGAAAGGAATGTGGCGGGTGGACGGAAGCGCCTTACCGTAGAACCAGTACACCGCGACGGCCTCCAGCAGGACGACCGTGAGCACCGCGGGGCCCGTGGCGTACTCCTCCAGCAGCTTCACCACGTAGGCCCCGCCCTGGGAATGAGACGGGCCTGGTGACCGGTCCTCCAAGGCATTGCCTCCTCTTTACCACAGGGGCCAAAAGAAACGTCAGAACGGAGGCTAATACCGGGAATTCCCACCTTGGACCTAATATGTGTTGGACTGGCCTTCTCAGGGTGGGCCAGATTCCACCCCCGCTAGGCCTCCCCCTCCCTATGGAGCACTTTCTTCTGTTTCCTCTTCCCGCTAAGTTTTAAGAGAGAGACTCAAAAGAGCCTTGATCTATTTTCAACTTTCTTCAGTTTACTGAACACCTACTGTGGAGTCTATCCTGGAGAATCCCGGGCCCTAAAGACTGAATCTGGGCCCTGGCCGGTTTGGCTCAGCGGTTAGAGTGTCGGCCTGCGGACCAGAGAGTCCTGGGTTCAGTTCCCACTAAGGGCACGTGCCTTGGTTGTAGTTTGTCCCCAGCCCAGGTTGGGGTCGTGTGGGTGGTGACCAGTCGATGTGCCTCTCTCACATCGATGTTTCTTGCTCTCTCTTCCTCCCTCTCTCCCTCTATCTGAGGATAAATGCAAAAAAAAATTGTCCTCGGGTGAGGATAAAAAAAAAAAAGACTGAATCTGGGACAACACCAGACCCACCAAGCACACTGGTCAGAGTTTTGCCTTCTGTCCTAACTCACAGACCCCTTGGGTCCTGCTCAGGGTCCCAGCACCCTACTGCAGCTCCACACACACTGGGGTCAGGCCTTGAAGATGCTTATCTGCCAACTATGCCTTGAGTCTGGACACAAGCCCAGGATGCCTGTGGGTACTATCTGACGTCAGTCTTCCAGTGTTTGCTTCAGCTTCCAAAAAAGAAAAAAAATCACTGGAGAAGGTCTGCCTTCTCCACCACGGCATGTTCTCTGGGGGAGACAAGGCAACATTGCAAACATGAGAAGCCAGCCTCCAGATGTTCTGCACATCAGGGCAGCAGGGCAATATTGCCATGAAAGTGGCCCCAAGGACTGGAAGTAAACTGGAAAAGCAAATCTCGGTTTGTCTCTAGATATTCTGCCAAGGCTGAAGTCTAGTTGGATCTACTGTAAAATGACAAGAGCCTCCAGATTCTACAAACAGATGCCACCAGAAACAGCTGTTCTTTTTATCCTTGAGGAAAATCTTTTTATAAGCCCTCCCTTTGGCCCCAAAGCCAGGGCACCATGGGGGCTGGAAGGAACGACTTCCTGTAGCATTCTGTTGCCCTCGGGAGGTTGACTCAAAGCTGAGGGTCGTGATACTCACAAAAGTCAGGGTGGTCAGGGACCCGAAGAAGCAGATAACCACCACGCCAAGCACTAACAACTCCCGACGCTTGGACCAGATGTGCGGAAACTCGTCCAGCACAGCTGTGATCACCCCCTCCAAGCCTGCAAACTGAGAGGGACACACAAATGGTCACAGGGGAGGCTTTGGGACAAATGTGGACAACAAACAGGAGGGAGGGGTTAAGGCTGCCAAGTGACCAGGCAAGCAGCTCAGGACCAGTTCCCCCTACTCACCTGCCCTCACTGGAAATAACTTTTCCTGTTTACACTGTCATTTAGAACCCATCCCTAAGGACACGAAGGAAAGAAAATACAGTATGTGGGCCCTGGCTGGTTTGGCTCAGCTGTTAGAGCGTCGGTCCGCAGACCAAACAGTCATGGGTTCGATTCCGGTCAAGAACACACACTTCAGTTGTGGTTGGTCCCCAGTCCTGGTCAGGGTCATGCGGAGGCAACCAGTCGATGTGTCCCTCTCACATTGATGTTTTTCTCTCTCTCCCTCCCTCCCACTCTATCTGAGGATAAATGGAAAAATATCCTCCGGTGAGGATTAAAAATAAATAAAAAGAATAAAATACAGTATGTGGAGAGGACTTTTTCATGTGAGGGCTCTTGGGCTCGGAGTCTTTGGTTGCACCAGAAAAGCCAACTCAAAGCCGGGACTCATTCCACACTACGTGCAAGGCGCTGAGCTGAATGCTGGGTGGGGGGCACCGAGACCCTGAGTGACCTTGCCCTGACCTTCAGCTGCTGCCATCTGGTCAGGGACAGCGCCCAATAATAACAGCTCACACGTGCTGAGCCCCTGCCTGTGCTTGTGTATACACACAGTCGTCCCGTTCACGACTCTGAGGCCCAGAGGGTGGGAAGCGCAGTCGAGGAGGATGAACGAGGGGCAGGGGAGCACCAGGGGGGAGCAGCCAACACCACCTGGGGAGGCCAGGATGGGAGGGAGGGGTACAAGTTCCTCTTCCTCCTCCCTTTCCGCCTCATCTTCCTTTCCCCCTACCCCTTCCTCCTCCCCAGAGCCAGATTTCCCTCCCATCCACTCACCGTGCTATCCAAGCCCAGTGTGATTAACATCAAGAAGAAGATGATGGCAAAGAACGTGGACGCCGGCATGTTGGCTATGGCTTCTGCGTATGTGATGAAGAGGAGGCTGGGGCCTGAGACAGGACGAGAGAGAAGGAGCCCACGGTGTGTTCAAGGACCCGGCCCTGGGTGTCAAGGGAGCTGCCCCATCCCCACCCCACGGTGAACACCTGGAAACGATTGCCATCTCCAAGGCATCACATTTCTTTAAAATCTTTGAAAAATTTTAAAGAAACATTTCAAAATAATTCAAAAGTTAGCTATTGATAAGAGCAATCCAATGGGAGCAAGGGACCTGAACAGAACCAAGGTCCTACCTGCGTCTTTGGCCACCTCGGACACATCTTCCTTCCTCATCTCAGCCATGTATCCGAGCACCGTGAAAATGACGAATCCTGAAATGAAGCTCGTCATGCAGTTCACCAGGCTGGTCATCAGGGCGTCTCTGGAGCAGAAAACCCAAGGGGTTTGAGATGTTTCCAAGTCAGGAGTCTAAGGAGCATCTGTCTCCAGGTGTGGCCAGGTTGAGCAGGCTGAGCTCACGAGACTTCAAGCCTGTCCTGGGGTCCCCGTCCCTGCGCCCAGCCTGGCCTCTCAGACTGGATGGATCAGCCTTGAAGCACAAGCTGCTGTTATCATCACACATGGCAGCGGGGACAGCTGGTCAGGGGTGGTTTTAAAATACTGTCCTGTTTCGAACCAGCATAGCACAGACCTCTCGGTTTCAAGCAAGGTTTGCTCTGAAGCAGGGCCTGGGTCGGAGTGGGAGCCAGAAGGGGACTTTGGCCTTACATTTATGAAGTCCCCAGATTTAGACTTTGACATTATGTACAAATGAGGTTATAATACTGCCACAGTGACATTCTGTCTTTTTTAACAGAAGACCCCATCACAGGACTTCTGGTTGGTGTCCCAATGCAACACAAGGCCACGATGCTTAGGTGAATTCTTTTTTATTAACCCTCACCGGAGGATATTTTTTCCATTGGATTTTAGAGTGGATGGGAGGGAGGAAGTGTGTATGTGTGTGGAGGGAGACATCAATGTGACAGAGACACATTTATTGGTTGCCTCCTGCTAGGGAGCTAACCTGAAACCCGGGTATGTGCCGTACCCCAGGGAATTGAACTAGAGGCCCTTTGGTCTGAGGGAGGATGCTCTAACCACCGAACAACCTGCCAGGGTTGAATTTCTTAAAAAAAAAAAAAAAAATTCTGTCCCTGGCTGGTGTGATTCAGTGGATAGAGCATAGGCCCTCACACCAAAGGGTCACGTGTTTGATTCCAGGTCAAGGGCACATACCTGGGTTGTGGGTTTGATCCCCGGCCCTGGTCAGGGTGCGTATGGGAGGCAACCAACCGATAGATGTGTCTCTATCACATCGATGTTACTCTGTGTGTATGTGAATGTGTGTCTCTCTCTCCCACTCCCTCACTTTCACTCTCTCGAAAATTCAATGGAAAAAAATATCTTCAGGGGGGGGATTAACAAAATAAATAAATAAATAAATTCTGCAATTATTTTATGAATAGTGTAATTCAATTGCTGCACATTGCCATCTGTGATAGAATATTAAAACAAAGCCAAGTCTGCCTGGCCGGTGTGGCTCAGTGGTTGAGCATCGACCTATGCACCAAGAGGTCGCTGGTTTGATTCCCAGTCAGGGCACATGACCAGGTTGTGGGTCCAATCCCCAGTGGGGGCCATGCAGGAGGCGGCCAATCGATGTTCTCTCTCATCGATGTTTCTCTCTCCCTCTCCCTTCCTCTCTCTCTAAAAATCAATAAAGAAAAATAAATAAAAACAAACAAAAAAAAAAGCCAAGTCTAAAGACCATGAGTAGTATTTAAATCATAATTGGTTCAATACTCTCTTTTGTCAACATTTCTGAAATAAGATTTTGCCACAAAAATTATGGCATTTTGTGTTGGTCAAAATAGTTTAATCATTATACTTTTTGTATATATATACACAAACAAATTATCACATTATAATTATTTTGTGAAATACAATAAGTCAAATCCAAACGTTTAGGGTCTGTTGCAGTTTTTGTAAATCTGCTTTAGAATCTCTTCTTTAATTTTTTTAATATACAGAAACTCACAAAACAGAAGTGGCATGGGGCCTCTCTCAACCCGAGTTGCCGGGGTGAGGCTCTGGCCACAGGTGAATTGGTCAGGGACCTCTGGCACCCCCGAGGGTCAGAGTGTCAACATGGCCTTAGTCCAGCCCAGTTTGAAGCCATCGGTTCAATCACCTTCCTCCAGACCAGCTGACTTACAGTTACCCCATTTTTAAACTTTGCTTGGGGGCCCCCGATACTCACTGATAACAGTTGTTGTTGAATTTGTTGTAGCTAGCAAAAGCCAGTAGGACCCCAAAGCCAGGACCAAGTGAGAAGAAGATCTGAGCAGCAGCATCCACCCACACCTGGAACACAGCAGAGGCAGGGTGAGGGCTGAGCCCCAGGCGACCCCCGGCGCCGGCAGGGCCAGCGCCCTCTGCCCCACTCGGCTCTGTGCAGACACAAAGAAACAGCTCTCAAGGCTCGTTCCAGGATGGCCACATAGCAAGTGCAAACAAACGTGATTTCTCTTCCTACCATGTGGGCATTAACCAATCCAGTGGCCTCAACTGTACTTTGCATGCTTATATTTCTGATTTAAAGTATCACTGTAGACTTGCCATTGAACCCAAATTGCAGTTGTCGCTCCTGTCTTATTTGGAGGACTCGCTTCACTTAATGAAATGACAGAGAGGTGCACGCCGTTTTCCTCGTTGCCTTACCCCTGTCTCCAGGAGTTTCTGCCAGCTGGGTTTCAAGTAGAAGAAAACACCCCTCCAGGCTCCGGGGAGGGTGGCCCCCCTCACCAGCAGGATCAACAGGATGATGTAGGGGGAGGTGGCTGTCACCCATACCACCTGTGAGGAAGGAAACCCAGGTCACCACGTGGATGATGGGATCTTTTATTCTTGAAAACCTCCAGGAAAGGAGACCTACCCCCCCCCCCCTCGTAAACTTAGGAGGCAGGGTGGTATAACAAAGATTGCAGCCTTTAGAACCAGACAGGTATCTGATCCACTGCTCACTGGTACTAACAACCTCTAAGTCCACTCCCCAGCTGTAAATGGGGAAAGTATCCTGCAGGAAATAGTCAAGTAGCCAGGGTATATAAAGCACTGAACACAGTCCACGATGGGTTTTCAGTAAATTATTGCCACTATTAGTAATTATGACACTACTAATGGGTTCAAGGAATTTTTTTTTATATAATTATTTTTTCCCATTATTTATCCTCACCCGAGGACATTTTTTCATTTTTTGTTCAGATAGAGTGAGAGAGAGAGAGAGAGAGGAAGAAAGAGAGAGAGAAACATCAACATGAAAGATACACATTCGAGTGGCTGCCACCAGCACGACCAACCAGGGCCAGGGACAAACTGCAACCTAGGCACACGCCCCTAGTGGGAACCGAACCCGGGTCTCTCTGGACCACAGGCCGATGCTCTAACCGCTGAGCCAAACTGGCCAGGCCTCTCCCCCCTTTTTTTTATTCTTCTTTCGAGGATATTTTTCCATTTATCATTAGATAGAGTGAGAGGGACGGGGAGAGAGAGAGACAGAGAGAAACATCAAAGTGATAGAGACACATCAACTGGTTGCCTCCTGCACGACCTGACCAGGGCCGGGAGGAACTGCAACCAAGGCACGTGCCCTTGGCTGGAATTGAACCCGTGGCTCATTGATCCACGGGCCACCACTCTAACCGCTGAGCCAAACAGGCCAGGGCGGATTTAAGGAATTTTTAAAAAAATTATGAAATGGGTCTTGAGACTGGACCATTTCTAGAACTTTCTAACAGATTTGGTGAAGGGAGCTTGGGCATCATGGAATGTCTGGCGTAGAAGGAAACCATGCCCTCTTGTCAGTGCCTGTCTGGGTGCCTGAGTTCTGAGTCTGAGATCACCTTGCCAGATGTTTTGACACCTTTCCAGATGCTAAAGTAGACAATAGTGAAGATCAGCATGATGCAGAGGGTAAGCTGCCAGCTGACGCCGCCCGGGGCCTGGAGCCCCCCAGACTGGTGAATCTGCAGGACGTGGCGCCTGGAGTGAAAGAGAAGAGAAGGCCCAGGAGACGGTCCGAGCTGCGACCTGAGGCCCCTGCCCGTGAACCTGGAGGCAGCGCCAAGAGGCGAAATGGACACAGCGCCGCAAGCACAAGTGGGCACTCAGCCTTAGCAAGAGCTGGGACTGGCTCTGCCCGACCTGTAGGAGGGGCCAGCGCCTTCCGCTGACCAGCCCTGGGAAACGCACTCAGCCCAAAGGAGCCTTCCAGGGCGCTCCTCCCCTGGCTCAGACCTGACCGCCAGGGCACACGACCAGCACGACTGGCTTCGGGGTACGTGAGGACTTGTAAGTGTGAGTAGCAGGCCCCTTCCCCACCCCAAATGTGCACGCTGCTCCAGGCATCTTCCCCCCAAGGGTCGATCCCACTTACGAAGTGAACACATGAAACCAGGAACTATGTGAACAGTGTCAAATGATCAAAGTGGTCAGAGGCTTTGCTTCCATGACACTGGCTAGAGGAGGGCCCAGGAAGAAGGGCGGTTTGGAAGCAGCGGGTCATTTTGGAACGTGAAGGTGAGGATCGTCCTGGGCACATTGGAGCCACCTGGCAGGCTCATCGGAAAGACCGGCCAGCACAGAAGGCCAGGTATGGACACTCAAGGTAGAGTCCCCCTGGGCCTGGGCCAAACCCAAGGGTGTGGCCTGCCCTCAACAGACCACCCCCTCACTTACAGGCACTTACATGTAAAACTCCTCCGCAGGCGATGTGGAGTCTTGTGTCCAGGTGACGTTGCCCTCGGAGAAGTAGTTGGTGCAGTTGTCAGTGTTCCAGGGGTTATTGCAGCTGGTCCAGGGCAGCTGGTTGGTGAAGGAGGAGATGAGGTAGTAGAGCGCCCAGGCCATGATGGTGTTGTAGTAGGAGGCGATGTAAAAGGTAATGATGCAGATGGCGTAACCGATCCCTGGACAGAGGGTGAGGGAGGCCGACATGAAAGGCAGCCCAACAGGGAAAGACTGCAACAGGGCACTGGAGGGCACGCAGCAGGGGAGGGGCAGGGTGGGGGCTGCCTCTCACTTCATTCCCCAAAAGCTCAGGAGGCAGCAGGAAAGCGGCAGTGTGGTAAACGACTGTACGACTGTACGGGCTATAGGCGTTTGCAAGGTGACAGGGTTCAGAAGTGTGTGTGCTGAGGATGCTTTAACTGTTTCCATTTCGTTTACACTGTCCTTTATTCTGTTTCCTTTTAACAATCTCATACCACTTGAGCAGTTAAAAAAATTACTGTACTCAAGTTGTCTCCCAGGGTTACCGAAAGCTTAACGGATTTCAGAAAGTCCCCAGCTCCCACCCACTGATAGAAATCACCACTTGGAACATCCACCCACCCACCCACTCAAGCCTTTCAGTTACCTTTGAACATAGGGCAGATTTTCTTCCATATTGAAATGCACCCGTTTCGGTGGTACTGGCCCAGCACAAGCTCCATGTAGAAGAGTGGGATGCCCCCAAAAATGGCCATGATGGTGTAGGGGATAAGGAATGCCCCTGAGGCAGATGAAAAACAATTTTACTCCCTGCCCACATCTGTGCCAGGACGGCCCAAGTGACCTGGACACCAGGGGCCACGCCGAGAATCGCAGAGCCCCCTGGTGCTTGAGCTGAGTGACATCACACTGTGTTCACACTCTGAATATTTCCTCCCCTATAAAATCACAAGGTTGAGGACAGCCATCCATCATAATCACTGCTGGGCTTAAAAACACACACACACACACACCCCCCCCAGGCTTCCGGAAGCAGGAGCTCCAGGTATGGGAATAACAAAAAAACCCCACAAAAAACAAACAAACAAAAATTTAAGCTCCTACGTGATTCTGATGCAACCAGCACAGGGACCAGTATTTGGGACCCTTGGAACAAAACTCCTGTGACAAGCCCTGGCCGGTTTGGCTCAGCGGTTGGAGCATCGGCCTGCGATCCGGAGAGACCCGGGTTCGGTTCCCGCTAAGGGCACGTACTTCGGTTGCACTTTGTCCCCGGCCCTGGTTGGTCGTGCGGGTGGCAGCCACTCGATGTGTCCCTTCATGTCGATGTTTCTCTCTCTCTCTCCCTTCCTCTCTCTCTCCCTCCCACTCTATCTGTACAAAAAATGGAAAAATATCCTCGGGTGAGGATAAAAAACTCCTGTGACAAACTGTAGAAGAGCTACAACAATCTACACGTCACTCAATTAATATCTTTGTTCCTTAGGATTACCCCTGACTCCAGACACTTGATTATTGATATTTAGCTATTTTCCATAATCCCATTGAATTTTGAGCCAGGATGCTCCCTCTTGAGCCATTTTGGCAGGTGTGCCTGAACAGCATAGTTTGTCGCAAAGAGGGCGGAGCTGCTGCATCTCAGCGGTGTCCCCTGGTTCTCGTGGCTGAAGCAGAACATGGAAATGCCAAGTTAAGGACTGGTCACCTGCAGCCTGAGCGTTAGCCCAAAGGATGGGTCAGCTTGATTCTCCCAGACAACGTTTCCTCCCATAAAGTGCTTTGAACCTAAAAACCCGAAGTCAGTGCAGCTCAGAAAGGTCCCACCTAACTTGCAGTCACTCTGAAGAAATCTGAATTGGGAATAAGAACCACATTGTATCATCATGGTGGCATTTGTCCAAAAGGTTTGCTTGCCTGGCTTCACCGTAAGAAATGAGTGTGTGGGAAATGGCACCGGTGACCCAGCCCCTTATGTAACGCTCAGGCTAAGGTTGGAGACGAGGTGATTCCAACCTCTGCTCCTCCTGGGCAGCGAGCGCTGGACTCCCTCTCCCGCCCTCGGAGCAGAAGCTGCCTCTGCAGCTGCATGGACCACGGCCCTAAAAAGCAGCCAAGACAGGCAAGTCCGTGTCAGGCCATGGACACAAATGAATTACTTCCCAAACCTCACTTTAGTTGCTCTCCCAAATCTGTTCCCAGAGCTCCTGTCAAAATAAATATCGACGGAAAGGATTCCCATCGTTTGTCCTGTTCCGGTTCTGAGAGCAAGTCCAGTGCGTCAGCACAGAGGCCGCACACCTGCTCACTCCTCCCTCTGGGCTCCCAGGTCCAGGCCCACAGTCAGCTTCTGTTTTTCAATCTGGAAGTTAACTACTTGGGAGGCGTTGGGGGTAGGAGGAGGAGGAACAAAAGCTAGTCTCTGGCCTCAAAAATCTAACCCTCTCGTCAGAGATACAGGGCACATCCATGCATGGTTTGAGGTCGGCATTAGTGTCCTGCTTGGCTGGGTAATTAAGACTCTGCACCTGAGCTGACGCCCTTCTCTGATCTCACCCAGGTCCAAAGGCCCAGGAGGGTCTGGACCCTAGATCTACCTCCCAGTTTTTCCTTACACAGATCTCCCCTCTCTGGACTCCTCTGAGCAGGAGCAAAGGAGCTCAGCACAGGGCTGCCGGTCATCCCTCACATCTCGCGGGTGGAGAGGGGAGCTTAGATAATGCAGGGATGAGAAGGGCTCTTCAGCAAATGGAACATTAATGATGATAAAATCTGCTGAGGTCAGATTAGGGAGATTTCATCCAACTTCATAACCCTGAGAGCCTCAGGCATGCAGACTCAAAGTGTGCTGGCTTACTGGAGATTTATCTTTTAGATAAGCTTCTAAGTCTAAGCAATCATGTTCCCAGACGCATATCAGTTAAACAAGACAGAAAAGATTGCTGGTGGCCGGTGATACTGACCCCCTCCATTCTGGTAACATATGTAGGGGAAGCGCCAGACGTTGCCCAGGTCCACAGCATAGCCAATGACCGACAGGAGGAAATCCCCCTTCTTGCCCCAGGTCTCCCGTTCCTCTTGGTGAACCTCAGCCACTAGGGCGGTGGTGGCAGCTGGGACAGAGTGCTGAGTGTCATCTCCTGCACTGGGGCTCGGAACCGCTGAGTACCCATTGGAGATGTGGCCAGATTCCACCTTATCCGCAGGGGCGGGGACAGCCTTCCGTAGAACTCCATTTTCCTGACAGTCTTCTCCATCCTTACACACTGACAGCTCCTTCTGGGAATTTAAGGGTGTGGTCTCCATTCTGCTGTCTAGCAGATAATACTGACGCCCATCTGCCGAGGACCTGGACTGAATTCTTGGTGCACAGTCTGTGGGGTCTTCAGAGTTTACATCAATGGGTCTGAGAGCTCTGTTGGAAAGGCACACAGAGAAAGAATATTATTTTATTGATTTTAGAGAGAGGAAGGGAGAGGAAGAGAGAGATAGAAACATCGATAAGTAAGAACATCATTTGCCGCCTCCTGCATGCCCCCCACTGGGGATTGGGCCCACGACCTGGGCATGTATCTTGACTGCAAATCAAACCGGTGACCTCCTGGTGCATGGGTTGACGCTCAGCCACTGAGCCACACCAGCCAGGCCATAGATTATTTTTCTTAATCCCTTCACCTTTTTCATGTGATTTTTATCCTTCGTTTTGTTTAGGTGGTGTCATATTTATTGATTTGTGGATATTATACCAACTTTGCATTCCTGGAATACATCCCACTTGATCATGGTGTATGATCTTTTTAATGTATTGCTGGATCTGGTTTGCTAATATTTTGTTAAGGATTTTAGCATCTATGTTCATTAGGGATATGGGCCTATAATTTTCTTTCTTTGTAGTGTCTTTGTCTGGTTTTAGAATTTGGATAATGCTGGCCTCATAAAATGAGCTTGGGAGTCTTCCTTCCTCTTGAATTTTATTTATTTTTTTATCCCCACCTGAGGATATTTTCCCATTGATTTTTAAATAGAGTGAGAGGGAGGGAGGGAGATAAGGAGGAAGGGAGGGAGGAAGGAAGAGAGGGAGGGAGGGAGAACGAGGGAGAGAGAGTGAAATATTGATGTGAGAGAGACAATTACCCCGACTGGGACTGGGAATCAAACCCGCAACCTGAATACATGCCCTGACTGGGAATCTAACCCATCACCTTTTGGTGTACAGGATGACTCTCCAACCAGCTGAGCCACACTGGCCCTGTGTCTTTTGATTGGAGCATTTAAGCCATTTACATTTAAAGTGATTATTAATGTGAGAGAAGAACATTGATTGGCTGCCTACTGTATACACCACGACAAAAGTTTGAACCTGTAATCTAGATATATGCCCTGACTGGGAGTCAAACCCACTACTTTTTATTTATTGCCTTTTTATTTTTTTAACTATGTCCCTCTGTTGTTGTTGTTGTTGTTGTTGTTCTTCTTCTTCTTCTTCTTCTTCTTCTTCTTCTTCTTCTTCTTCTTCTTCTTCTCCTTCTCCTTCTCCTTCTCCTTCTTCGTCTTCGTCTTCGTCTTCTTCACCCATTAATATTTCTTATAATACTGGTTTGGTGGTAAGGAACTACTTTAGCTTTTCCTTGTCTGGGAAGCTCTTTATTTCTCCAATTTTAAATGATAGCCTGGCTGGTTAAAGTAGTCTTGGTGGTAAGGTCCTTGCTTTTCATCACTTTAAATATTTTATGCCAATCCCTTCTGGCCTGAAATGTTTCTGTTGAGAAATCAGCTGTTAGTCTTATGGGAGCTCCCTTGTAGGTAACTGTCTTTCTTTTGCTGCTTTCCAGATTCTCTCTTTGTCTTTACATTCTTTTTTGTTGTTGTTCACTTCCTCACCCGAGGATACTTTTCTATTTATCATCAGATAGAGTGGAAGGGAGGGAGGGAGAGAGAGAGACAAAGAGAAATATCGATGTGATAGAGCCACATCAATTGGTTGCCTCCCACATGACCTGACCAGGACCGGGGATGAACCATAACCATGGTAGGTGCCCTTAACCAGAATTGAACCTGTGACTCATTGGTCCACAGACCAACACTCTAACCACTGAGCCAAACCAGCCAGGACTCTCTCTTTGTCTTTAACCTTTGCCATTTTAATTATGATGTGTGGGCCTCTTTGGGTTCATCTTGTTTGGGACTCTTTGCACTTTCTGGACTGTGTGTCTTTTTCCTTCGCCAAATTAAGAAAATTTTCAGTCATTATTTCTTGAAATAGGTTCTCAATCCTTTGCTCTCTCTCTTCTCTTCTGGTACCACTATGATGTCAATGTTGTTATGCTTCATGTACTCCCAAATGTCCCTTAAATTACCCTCAGTTTTTAAAAAATGTGTTTTCTTTTTGCTGCTCTGATTGGGTGTTTTCTGTACCTTGTCTTCCAAATCACTGATGTGATCTGCTCCATCCAACCTATCTTTGTAGTATGTTCTTCATTACAGATATTATATTCTTCATTTCTGATTGGTTCTTTTTTATAGTTTCTATGTCCTTTTTCATACTGTTGTAGTTCACATTAAGTTCCTTGAGCATCCTTATAACCATTTTTTTAACTCTATATCTGATAAGTTGCTTGTCTCCATTTCATGTAGCTCTTTTTCTGGAGATTTCTCTTGTTCTTTCATTTGGGGCATGTTTCTTTGTCTTTCCATTTTGGCCATCTCTTTGTGTTTGTTTTTATGTATTAGGCAGACCTGCTATGACTCCCAGTCTTGGTAGTGTGGCTTTATGTAGTAGGTGTCCTGTGGGATCCAATGACTCATTCTTCTTGATCACCTGAGCTGGGTGCTCCTGGAACATCCCTTGTGTAGGTTATGTGGGCCCTCTTATTGTAATTGCGTCTTTATTGTTATAGGTTTGTTCATGCATGGGGTTGACCCTCAGACTGGCTGACTGTGAGGATGAACCATGACCACAGTGTATGAGCTGTGCAGGTGCTGACCACATGACATGGAATTCACCTCAGCAGGGTCTGGTGCCTGCTGAGATCTCCCTTTGGATATGCCACCTGTGAAGCTATCTGGATCCTGTTCTGATGTCTGAAGATGTCCACTGGGTGTGTTGGTTCTGGGGCCTCTTGGGAAGGACTCTGGTGCCAGACAATGTCAGACACTGTCTGTGATTGGTCCTGGACAACCTGTTTGGAGCTACAAAGACTCACAGTTTGTGGCTGCCTCTGCTGGGCTTGGGTGTGTGCAGGAAGAACCAAGCTATGCACCAAGATTGGTTTTTACCAGCACTGGGCCCAGGGACAGGTCATTAAAAGTCCCAAGGCACCCTGGAATCCGCCTCTGCCTGCTTCTGCCTGCTGGCTGCCTGTTAAGCTCAGTCACTGAAAGAGCCTCTGGCAGTTCTCAAGTGCATAAGGCAGGTTCTCAGTGAGTCAGCAGGTAGGAGTGCGTGGTGTTCACCAGACTGATACAGGTTCAAACTTAGTGCCAGGGCTGGATCTGAGGCCACTCAAAAAATGTCCCAGGTTATACCAAGTCTAGCTGTCACCCTCTGGGTGCTTGCACACCTTTGTGGTGGGGTGGGGTCTCATGGTGTCATCAGGGTGAGGCCAGCAGTTTATTAGGCCCAAACAAACCAAGATTTGGCCATGTGAAGGGAGGTCTCTGCACTTGTCGGGCATGCTGGGGGGAAATGGCTCCCATTCTAGAGCCAAACATCTCAGTCTGACTCATATTCTTCTAGGAGCCCTATCTCAGCAGGGCAGGACCGCTGAGAGTCAGGATGATGGAGTTAGTGGATGTCTCATAAGGGGGACATTCCATCAGGCTTGGGGGAAGGTGGGGGCTGTGGCCCCTGCCCCAGAACCACACAATGTGAGTCTATCTTGGATTCTTCCCAGACAGACCTGCTGGGGATCCTGAGCTCAGCAGGGTGGGACCACCAGGAGTCAAGAGAGTGGGGCCTGGAGAACCCAGAGAATGGGGCTAACAGATCTCCTGTGAGGGGGGAAGCACCAGTCAGGTTTATGGTAAAAGGGGGAAAATGGCCCCCACCCCAAAGCCACACAACTCAGTCACTGACATCCTTGAGTCTGCCTAAACCTCTACACCTTGGCTCAAGTGGTTGACTGCTCAGTAGGGTGCAAGCTCTACAGTGTGGGGCTACAAGGAATCCAGAAGGTGGGGCTAGTGCATTTCCCCAGGCTGATGCCATATGGAGGGGAGTGCTCCACCCATGAAAGATGGCGTCTGTGGTGTAGGAGAGGGACTCAACACAGGGGTCCGGGTGGCTGTCCCTTCGTCTCTCTTCCCAGAGCCACAAGCCCCAGTGGCTCCTCACATGACTCTAGTCCACTCCGCCCTCCCTCCACCAGAACTCAGGGTGAATGACTATGAATGAGATTTTGTGTGTTGGCCCATTAAGAGGATGCCTCTGTCTCTAGCAAACTACCGTCTCTCCCTGGTGGACAGAATTCCCACTGTTCTTCACAGGCAGATGTTATGTGGGCACCTCTTCCCAGCTCTGGTGCTCTGGACTGGGAGCCCAGCTTGGGGTTGAGACCCCACACTCCTCAGGGGGAACCTTGACACTGAGATATCCCTCTGGACCTCAGCTGCCGCCCATGGGAGCAGAGCCAACCCTTTTTGAGTCTCCGTCCTTCCTTCCAATCTAGGTCTGGCTTCTTCTGTAAGTCTTGGTTATAAGACTTCTTTTAAGCTAGTCCTGGGTTGGTTATTCAGGTTGTTTGTTCTATGTTTTAATTGTAATTCCAATTTGGTCCTGGAAGGAGGTGAGCGTAACATCTACCTACTCTGCTGCCATCTTGGATCTGCTCATCATACCTTTTAAACTACATTGATTAATGGGATTACAAATGTATCTGTTAATTGTGATACAACCTATTTGCTATATGAGAGTCAATAAAATTAACTAAATTTTTCAATCTATGCAAGGCATCAAACCACAATCAAGTAATTTGAAAAGGAAAAAACCCAAACAAACAAAAATGGACAGCAAATCACCAAGGTCCTGACAGGCTCTGTTTAAGAACAAAGTATTGACTTCTACTTTGTTTCTTTTTATCCTCACCCTAGGACATTTTTGCATTTATCTTCAGTTAGAGTGGGAGGGAGAGAGGGAGGAAGAGAGAGAGAGAGAAACATCGATGTGAGAGAGACATATCCAGTGGCTGCCACCCTCATGACCCCACCCAAGGCTAGGGACAAACTGCAACCGAGGGACATGCCCTTAGCAGGAACCCAACCAGGACTCTCCGGACCGCAGGCCGATGCTCTAACCGCTGAGCCAAACCGGCCAGGGCTTGGCTTCTGCTTTGGAACTGGAATCTCACACTGGAGTTTACCAGTAACTCAGAAGAATGTAAGGAGAGTGCTCGCTTTAACAAAGCTCCCCCACCCCAA